AGTAATCTCGCTAAAAGAAGTCGCATATCATCTCCGGTCAAGATGAGTGCCCCAGTAGAAAGATTTTCTCTGATGCCACTGGTTGGTTCGATTTCACCACATTAGAACTGTCATTAGTTTCTGATCTGTGTAAGTGGTGCTCTCATAGTATTTACAAGGTAAGCCTTCTATGGGATTTTCTATAGGGTAACATTTATAGGAGTGCAAAACACATGTTTTCACAGCTCATTACGTTTTTTAGACATCTATGAATAGTTTGTTTCAATGATTGCACATTAAGTTGTGTAATTAATTATCGCGAAGAAGTTTGATTCAGACAAATAAATGAGTAAACAAAAACTAGAATAGCAACAGTACTGTCCTTGTTCAGGTCCATGTTCGTAATTCATGACAACCGAAAAAATAATCTCAAAATAATGCAGATGTGGTTGAAAACTTCTTTATCTTCTGCAGAAGCTATTGCCAATTGATCTTTCACACACTGTATGTTCTATAATTACAAACAAGTGAATATATATGCTATATTCAGGGTACTGGGAATTACCAATACTATTTTAAACACTTGAACACAAAAGTAAATTTTATTTCTTTCTGAAAATAAATGTTATCTCAAAAATGTTTATAAAAGCATGTTGTAGCCAATGGGAAATTTGATCCATAATAAACTAATTATAGGGAAATGCATAAAAATGCACCAAAATTTAGGCAAGAAAATTGTGGCATTGAAATTGTTTAGGGAACTGTAAAACCCTGATTTGTGAGTGAAAATATGTTCACATACATTGTATAATTATTTTTGCCAGTCATCACTTTGATCTTCTGAGCATATCAACGACAGTCGCCTTCGTAATACACCTCGTGTCAATGTTTTATTTCAGGGAGTGGAAAAAGCGAGAGATATGTTGTTTCCTTCAAGGGTCTTCCAGAAAAATCTTGAAAGCACCTTAGCAAAACTGAACGAGTTAGAGGAAGAACTGAAACAATTAAAAGAAAATAAGGTAAATTAAAAAACATGAGTTTCAAATGGCATCACTAAGTAACGTTTAATTTGAACAAACAAAAAAACAAGTAAACAAAAACTAAATTAGCAACAATTGTACTGTATTTATACCTCTTGTGGCATTGAAATAATTTCATTGTGGGATTGGTATAGCGATTAACTTTCTTTTTTCACAACGAATCACTAAAAATCTGTAGCAAAAATGTGCAATTGGACTTGAAACTGTAAATATCTTCTGTGTGCATTGGCCACAGCTAAGAATGAGTCAGTTCTATTTTAGTTTTAGGTTAAATATGTCTCAGAAAGTATCTTCAAAAATCGATCCATTATGAATTAGTGTCTATTTTTCTGAAGAGTAGAATCCAGTGAGGTCATATTCAGTTATTTTGTTTTGGAGATGAGTTTATGCCAATCAAATGTCAATTGGTTTGAAAGTCACACATGTTTGCGCTCTGGCATGCATGTTGGTGGCATCCAATGTTTTGCTCACAACAGTGTGATAGACTATTATTTGAGTCGGTTTGTGAAAATGAACATAATTTTTTTTCCAGATCTGAAAATCCTAGGTGGGTCTTTTTCATAATTTTCATTCAAAATGACCTCTCCCAAAACCACTGAGAGAACAACTGAGCATGCTCAGAATAATTAATTAGCTTGGATTGTAATGCTAGGGTTGACCTTGATCTGAATCAGTGACAGATGGGTCATACCATTACAAATCTCTGTGAAAATTGTAGAGGGATGTCAAGGCTACATTTTGAAGGGAATGATAGTGGTGATACTGAAACAAACCCAGGTCCTGGTAATATAAAGACCTGAATTAACAAAAAAGTCAAGTTGTTATTAAAGGTACATCAAGGCTTACTCAGATTTATGAATGCAGTTTCTTGAGCATGTATACATGTATGAGACATAGTCAGGTTGCATTTGTGTACTCTGAGATTTTGGACTTGGGTCAATGGAAGTTATCTGTACAATACTAGATTAAGAGAAAACACTTTATAATGAGTTGTACCCATATAAAGTACATATTAATTCAACTGTTACTTTAACATGAGTATTTTATAATTATATAATGGGGACTGACATTCATGTCTTGTTTTTTATATTTTCAATTACTAGGAAAGCATATTACAAAATAACAAGACATGTCAATACTGTCAGTCATTACAAAACCCATCTGTGTCTGTGCTAAAGGACAAGCCCAATCAAACAGCGGAAACAACAGAGAGCTCCACGAATACCAGCTTCATCTTCAGTTTGACACCAGAGTCTGTCTCACTTCAGAGTTTAGATAATATCACGAAAACACCCTCACTACCACCACCGCCGCCGCCGCCACCACCACCACCGCCGCCACCACCACCACCAGGAAGTTTGCTTTCTAAGCCTGTTGACTGGAGATCTCTTATAAAAAACAAAAAGGTAATTTTCAGACCTTCTTGCAATTTAAAAACAAGTTATTCATTGTCTTAGTTTGTTCAAAAGTGTTTCAGAATAGATTATGATTATATCTCTGGTAGTGAAAACAATAGAATTTGATGTTCTGTGAAAAGCAATATCTGCAATCGTTCAAAGCAAATCTGCACTTGGTTTATTTAAATCATCCTTATTTGTGGTAAACTGTGTTACCAATATTGTGAACGAGTTGAGGATTTTGATATCACATTCACTTTTCTTTTTTACATTGAACACAATACTATAGTGTGTGAAGAAAGTAGAACTCACAGGGCAAAACATTATTCACTACGTTCAATTACCCACCATAGACTCCGGTCAGTCAAAATGACTATTTTGAACTGTAGGCATTAATCAGCGATTCTGCAGGTGACTGAGAGATAGAATCCAGATCAGGGGAAGCCCCATGACCTCAAGATTCTTTTACCCCTTATGTCAAGAACCCACGTCCTTCACTCTTAATTTCTCTCCGCCTCGAGTGGAGATGAAATCTAGCGAGCTCTGCTGGATCGCCTGCTTTTTTTCCTGTCCAGATTTATAGCTTGAGTTGTTGCCGCTGCTCGGCATCCGACATGGTAGCTGGTAGGATAAG